AAGAAGGGTTTTGATCTCCGCTCAGCTGGTATCAGCACCGACTAAAACAGGCAAGCGTGCATGGCATGATTTCGGCGGATGTTCTCCTCGAATTCCTCCACATTTTCCAACATCATCAGCGCGAAGCCACGGGATTTCAGCATTTCCAGAAGGTGCATTAGCTCCTCTGCCCCGCCATCTAGCAGACAGAATCTTGCTTCAAACTCCTGCGTGGCAAAGGGCGCAGACATTCAGACCAACACCCGAGCCTTGATGCAACATGCAGTCATAAAAGTGTGAAGTAAAAGCGTGGGCTGGATCTGGTGTTCCTTGTTCCACACTGCTGCGTGCGCAATGTGGACTAGTCTCTGGAAGACTTCAGGCCAAAAGATCGAGCAACATCAATTGCATTAGGGCTGCCGCCTCCCGTCCCGGGGGCATTGGCATTAGCTATGTCACGGCTGGTTGGAGGATTCTCTGTCTTGTCCTCCATGGAGTGTTGATGGGACAGATTGAACGAATCCTGTTAGTGCATGGCGAGCATTGGCCGAACCACTCCCACTTGCCCACACCCGGATTTCCAGCTCCGCACCGCCACCCTAAATCAGCTTCTGCTCCCTAACATGACTTGCTTCCAATACGTGCACGATGCGTAGATAACCCGTCGTCAACAAGGATGCGCTTTGATTTCGTCATGATCCTCTGTTCCACTCTGCGTTGGCCATCGGATGTAAGAAACATTCAGATGGATTTGCCTGATATTTTACTATTTTTACTCGAGGCGGGATGGAGACTCGAAATGAGGCACCCTACAGTGTAGGCCTTAGAAGATGGGTTCCACGAAGAAACAGGCCGACACTTCGAGCAGTGCAGCAGAATCTTTTGCAACTATGGCCTCGGAAGCCCCAGCCCATGTTGGACGAAAGCTTCACTTGTCAAGGCCAACTTGGTGAGGCTGTCTCTTGTGACTCTTGTGCCAGCTTTCAAGTCTTGCTTTGCAGGCTGTACCGTTGCTCTGGTCAGGCTTGCTGCATATTCTCAACAAATCACCACAACAACAACAACAACAACAACAGCAACAACAGCAACAACAGCAACAGCAGCAGCAGCAGCAACAGCACCAGCACCAGCACCAGCAGCTCCAGCAGCACCAGCAGCACCAGCAGCTCCAGCAGCTCCAGCAGCTCCAGCACCAGCACCAGCACCAGCACCAGCACCAACAACAACAACAACAACAAAACCAACAACAACAACAACAACAACAACCACAACAACCACAACAACCACAACCACAACAACCACAACAACCACAACCACAACCACAACGACGACGACAACAACAAGAACAAGAACGAGAACAAGAACAAGACCACAAACAAGAACAGTAATATTAACAAGAGCCACAATAACAATCACAACGACGACGATGACAACAACGACAACAACGACGACAACAACACCAACGACAAAAAACAACGACGACGACGACGACGACGACGACGACGACGACGACGACGACGACGACAACAATCACAACAACCATCACGATCACAACCACGACAACCATCACGACCACAACCACGACAACGACAGCGACAATACCACCAGGACCACAGGAAGGGTTTAGGGTTCAGGGTTTAAGAGGACAGGGGTAAACCGGATGGCCGCGCGCCAGATCCAAAACGGGTTTTAAGGTCACGGGTATTAGTAAGTAGATTAACATGGGAAGAATAGAACTTTTTCGGACTCTCTGCCGAGTCTCCCTGCTCCGCCAAGTATTTACGAGCCACTAGGCACATCCCAAGTTATCAAGACATAAGAATACTACCTAACAGGAGACATAGGATATTGCGTGACTACAGCTTACGTATAACTCGGCTCTCTGTCTACTCATGAAATACAATCTCAGCACGCACCCTCAACCCTAAACCCTGCACACATGTTTTTGGGCAAGCATGGACTGATCCAAAATGGGCGGATCTCTAGTTCTCCAAGGTTCCTTCCCACAGATTTCTACCTGACGAGCCTTGGAACGCTACCTGAACCCCAGCGTAATATCTTAGGTGGACCCCCCACCCAGTAATCATGACTATAAGGGATAATAGGGATTAAATTAGGGTCCTCGTATATTCTTATAATACCACCATTACAGGGTGGGGGTCCTCCTAAGCAAAAATCTTTCGAGACTGTATAAGAGTAGTGTTTAGGGTTTAGCCACAAAGCCATCCCAAATATTTCACGAAGTTGTTACTGAGTTCTGTAAGTCAACACTCACCAATAGACCCCAAAAAAGTGTCAAGTGTCCTACGCAAGTGCTAAGTACACAGCAACTACATTGGAGGTTCTAACTCTAAACCCTTAACCCTAAACTCTAAAGCCTAAACCCTTACGTTGGAGGTTCAGATAAGTTGGAGGTCCAAGTAAGGCACTGCGATCTTGGACCTGCAGAGCCATGGAAAAGCAAGAGATTTTTCTAAGAGGGAGTTTCTCGAAATGGGGCTTAGGGTTGTAGGGTTTAGAGCTTCAAAGAGGGAGCTTCTCAAAATTGGGGTTTAGGGCCAAGGGGGCGCCCTTAGGGACCCTGGGCATATCTTCCTGAAAGACCAAGCTAGTGGGCAATTATCCGGGTGCAATTTTGAGAAACTCTTTTGAAAGAATTGCCGAATTAGCATCGCCAGGCGGAGTTGTCTAAAACCCTCATCGCTGTTCCCGACGCAGCTTTTAGAACTCTTACCGATCTCCAGGCTTTTGACGGTATTGCTTTTGCAAACACTTCTCGCTTTTCAGAGCACAAATGCGTGCCTTGGGCACCTGTCAATGATAAGGAATATGCACGAGGCTATTATACAACCCCAGGCGTGACAGAGAACCATGTATTGAGTTAAACACTTCTGATGGACATGCCTGCAGAACCTGCCTGCCCTCAAGCATGGCTAGCACAGTACAACTGGATTCGCAACAAGTCTACAGGTACACAGAAACATACTCGTCCGAATCTGCCGCAATCTGGACAGTGCTGAAGCTTCGGCTGAGTATCTCTGGCATGTTGGTGTCATGAAGAAGGTCAGTAGCTGTCTTGCCTCTTGCCTTTGGTTTAGGGGCTCAGCGCCTGTTACGTTTTTGGGGTTCAGTGCCTATTAACCGGAAGAGGAAAAGTCAGGGTTCGGGGATCAGGTCAGCAGCTGTCTTACCTCTTGCGCGGATCTTTCTGTTTCGTATTGGGCTCATGCATACGCACGTTGAACAATGCCCCTAAACCCTCAAGCCTAAACCCTAACCCCTCAACAACCTAAACTCAAAGGTTCCTGGGTTGTACCCCTAAGGTCGAACCCTTAAAAAAGGTTTCCCGAACATAGGCTTACCATAGCCCCTATATGAAGCAATCTAATCCCCCGAAGTCCCTTGAAAGGATTTCAAAACCCAGGGGTACAACCCTAGGGTTGATAAGCCAGCCAAGTTGCATTTTTGAGATCTAAGCGTGCGCCAGCGCTCTGCAAGACAGGTACCACGCCAAGCTTGCCTGGGAGTCTCTCGACAAAGGGGCCTCCCCTCATGTAGACCTATGATTTATAAACCCTCTCCTTTTAAGGGCCTTTATATTAGGATGCCTCTTAAAATCCACATTAAGGGGAGGGGGTTTATTAATCAGCGGTCTGGGTCAGGGACCTTAGAGACACACGGGGGGATCATTGGCGCCTTTCCTAAGGATCATATGCAAACAATTTGGAAAGACTCCCACCTGTCAAAATGGTAAGCATCAATGGCGTTGCCTTCTGGTGGTGGTAGCATGCACGCGTCAAAAGGGAAGGACTCACCAAATGGCGTGCGCTTTGCGCATTGAAGAAGATCCTTAGATGGTATCTAGGGCCGTTCGCGGGCTGGCCTTTTTGTACATGCTGGATTGTTCTGTTGCCCCAAAAAAGGTTAAAGTTGGTTGAAGGTTCCCCATGACGGCCTGCTACCCACTGAACACTGTACCCTAACCCTACCCATGAGCCCTAAACCCCCAAAATTCTGAACCCCTAAAGCCTGAACCCCTAAATTCCAAACCCCCCAACCCCTAAACTCTAAAGTAATCCTAATTGGAGGGTCAGGAGGACTTAGTAAGTAGGTTAGCAAACCCTATACCCCATATAGTACCCCTAGTGATCCCCACTATCAACCTACTTATTAAGTCTCCCTGACCCTAAACCCTAAACCCTAAACCCTAGCCTAGTGGAACAAATGAAAATAGGTTTTGGTACGAAGAAAGGCCGACTGTGAACTGGGATCTTCACTCAAATTAATCTTGGCTATTGGCTGCAGCGTGCCTAAGGTTTAGGAGCTTTAGAGTTCGGGTTCCAGAGGTTTAGGTCAAGGAGGAAGGGTTTAGGGTTTAGGAGTTTAGGGTTTAGGATGAAGGGTCCGAGTTTCGGGTTTGGGGGGTAACCACACGGTAGACGTGTAGAGGGTAGGGATTGTTTGAGGTTTTAGGGTTTCAGGTTCAACTTACCTACCCCTAAACCCTAGACAAAAAAATGTTTTCTGGAGGCCCCGTACGGGTAAGGAGCCACCAAAGAGGTTCCTTCCTCGTGAAGGTGATCTGCTGATTTACATCCGCTCGTGCTTCGAGCAAGAAGGAAATGACCTCGAGGAGACTGGAAAAGGAAATTGGACCTACTACATAGGGTTCAGGGTGCTTCACGGCGAGTAGTGGGTGAAGATAGGTACTATAGAATGAGAGGGAATCAGCGTGCAATTGCAAAATACGCGGAAACGTTGTGTGCATCCACTGACTTACCGGTAAGTGCATCAAATCCTACACCCGAAGCCTGACCTCAGGGGAGCTTCCTCAAAAGAGGCTAGGGGTTTAAAGTGTACATGGCACGTCGGGGGGACGTAGTACCCATGTAGTAACCATACTTATCGCATTATAAACCCTAAACCCATAAACCTACTTACTAAATTAAGTCCCCCAGACCCTCCAAGTAGGGGGCTTCAGAAGATGAGAGGTTTCGGGTTTAGGATTTATATTTTTAGGGTTTAGGTTTACCTAAACCCCAAAAGTATGTAGAATAATTGCATTTAGGGCTATTACTATGGGTTTAGGGCCATTATTTTACATATTTTGGGGGTTTAGGTAGGGCTTAGGGCCTAGGGTTCAGGGTTTAGGGCCGTGCCTTAGGAGTGACCGGGAGGGTACAGGCAGTCCCTATTCGAGATTCTACGGCGGGTATAGGATCCATAGTCTAAACTCCTAGTATCCACCTTAAAAACCCCTATAGCAGTTCCCTATATCATCCCCTATGTAACCGCCTTTAAGGAGTTTAGATTATGGCTCGTAGGATCTAGGGTTTAGGAGTTGGAGGAATCTAGCTCTTCTCCCTAAGCCCTGAGCCCTAAATCGCAAGTTCCCTACACAGCCGCGGTAATTCCTAAGAGTTGATTTACATAGAGTGCTCCAGCAATAGCCTAAACCCTAAACCCCACCTCTGCATCAGGCCAGCCAGATAGTAAAGAAAAGGAGAGACAGAATCTCAAACTCCAAAGGCTGGACCTTACTTCAGCGAAGCAAGGCATGGTTGTAGGGTTTAGGGTTGCGGGATCAGGGGTTTAGAGATTAGGGTC